CGTGGCCCATGGAGGAGGATGGACTCTAGGTAACCACGATGTTGAAGAGGGAGTTTGTCGCTGGATCGCCCACGAAACCGGTGCCGTTGTCGTCGATGTTGACTACAGACTGTAAGTGCTCCTATTTTATCACTCTGTCTCATTGTCCGACTAAAGCGGAATCTCAACTGTGACCATCGAATATCCACAGGGCTCCTCAATACAAATACCCACATGGAATAACAGACTTCTATGACGTCTTCAAATGGGTATGTCAATTCTGAACTGTTCCAGCCAGGTAGCTCATGTTAAACCTTAGTGCAAAAGCAATGCTGCATCTCTGGGCATCGACCATTCTCTGATAATTACATGCGGTAGCTCTGCTGGCGGTGGCATGGCTGCGGTGCTTACGATCATGGCACAAGACAACAAGGAGGGTGGCATTGTCGGTCAGCTGCTGAACGGGCCAGTCTTGTGTCACCCAAACTTCTTTCCCAAGGATGACTACGAATATACAAGCTGGGAGCAGAACAAGAAAGCCTCCATCTTGACCGCCGAACACATGTTACGATGCTGGGAAGCGTACTATCCAAACACAGAGCCCGATGTGTATGCAAATCCGCTTCTCGTCGAGTCTACTGCTGGCCTCCCACCAACTCGTAAGTGCAAACCTCTACATCCAAAAGTCTTGTATCGGGTGGACTCTGAATCAAGGATGCAGTCATCCAAATAACAGGAATGGATATCATTCGAGACGAGTGCTTCGCCTATGCGGACAAGCTCAAGAAGGATGGGTAAGTCGATGCATGACTACATTAATTGCCTGACACTCTATTTGCATGGTATTCTGATTTTAGTGCAGAGTCCCTGTCGAAGTGGTCACATATCCCGGATTGCCACATGGATTCTACACCCTACCAAATCTGGAATCTTCCACCAAGTATTACAAAAGGGCGGCAGCCTGGACAAAGGAGATTTTGGCCGCCAAGGGATGGAAAGCATGAGGGGAGGAACTCATGCTGTCTGCCAAATGGATGGACCCGATCTGGGAACCTAGATCGAACAGATAGTCAAGGGAGGAAAGGTAGAAATGTCCGTAGGCGGGGCTGAGGGGCTAAGGGCTCTCGTAGCAGGCGATACCAATCCCCTTAAACTGGCACTGGAGCCAGTCAGAGTACTTCCACTTTCGGGAACACTGGCGGAATAGCAAAAGTCTAGAATTCAAGTTCCGACAGACGAATAGCAAGTCCGTGTCCCCTGGACACCTATCAACTGGTGAAATGTGCTCGACGATCCCTGTCGTTGCCAACGCACATCAAAATCGACATCAATGTCGTCGTTGGCTTTGATCAGCTTTATTGCAGTAGTAGAAGCTACGGCTATATACCTGTTATCTCTATATTGCTAGCTATGACATACAACCTCATCATATAGTATATACCCATTTACTTCCTGAGACCTCTCCCTTTCTCATACATTCGAGACCTTTGAGCACACCCTGAAGCCCAGACCCCGTGGGATTCACATTAGGAGTATGAACCTTCAGCTTACCCTGCTCGAGCAGTGGTCTAGCCAATTCCCAGAATTTCTTGCCGAACTCAAAGTCTTGCTCTTGACCAGGGACCTCATGAGGGCCGGCCTTGATAGTCTCTCCCATTACGGTATATGCAATAGTCATCCTGGTGGTAACATTAGGGTTAATGCGATGGAGTGGTTCATCAGGAACTGGCTGCAACAAAGCCAGCTTGCCACCAGCCGCGCTCATGGCACTGGCGCAGATGACGGAGGTGGATTCAATCGAAACGCAATCCAATGCGTATCGAAGATTACCGTTGGCTGCACTTTTAATGTCTTCGCCCACCGTAGGCGAATTATAGTCCAGGACAATATCGGCGCCAGCGGCTTTGACATACTGCAAATTCCGTGGCGAGCATGTCGATATGACGGTCGCGCCTGATAATTTAGCTAGCTGAATAGCCAACGCCCCGGTCGCGGTACTTCCACCATAGATCAAGATCGGGAAATCTGCCTTTGTGTCAGAATCCGGGAGTGGAAGTCCTAGATTCTGATAAAGAGCTTGAGCGGCCGTGGTGAGGCCAATGCCTAGGGTGGCCGCTTCTTCGAAGCTAAGGTTGTGGGGGATTGGGATCTGCACGTCTCCTTTGACGATAATGTGCTGACCAAAACTGCCGGTGTCGTGGTTCATGGCGTTGGCTCCGTAGCAAGGTCCAGTGATACGGTCGCCGATTTTGAATGTTTTGGTCACGCCTTTTCCTATGGCTTCGATCACCCCTGCATAGTCACAACCCACGCGAGCACCAGGACTGGCCATGAAGTCGATGTGTTTCCAGTCGCTTGGGTTGAGCGCCACCGCTCGTGTTGCCACTAGTATATAATCATCTTTCAGCTCGGGCGCTGGTACTTGTTCGATCTGTGCGTCTCCTGGAGCCTTGATTATGATGTGCTGATTTGACATTGCGGTCGACTCTAGGGTGAGAGACTGACTCGTAGAAACGGTGGATTGGAAATTTCTTCTGGACAGAGTGCACAGTTGTCTTGACTGAGAGCACTATTCCAGAGGGCGTCTACTCCAGAGATGCGATATGTTTGTGCAGTGGCGTGTCCATTGAGGGGTTCTTTACGGGGGCGCGGTACCAAAACAAAATGCGTTCTGCCGATGGCTGGACGAAGGCTGGAGGACCGAGTAAATCTCGACCAAGCACCAGTGGTGTTTTACTCATCCGCGAGGGTGAATTCCGCCCCGAAAAGGAGCAGTTCCCCAAGTATAGGAATGGGCGGGTACATCTGCCCGAGTCCTGTGCAGGGGCGGACTGAGGATCCCGATTTCCGAGAGCAGCGGGCAAGCCTCCATCGTTCTACACAGTCAGGATAGAAGCTCAAGGTATATTCAAAAAGGCATTGTTTAGACATCTAAATCTGCCAATCAGTCAGTGTGTGTGTGTGACGGATAGTTTTTAGTGTCATCATCACTGAACACGAAATTAGTACTTCGAAAAGATATTTCCAAGCAAGAGCCGAGATGGGCTCACTACCAGCAACACCCCACTACGATGCAATCGTTGTTGGAGGCGGATTCGGTGGAATCTACACCATGCATATGTTGAGAAGATTCAAATTTAGTTGTCATTTGTTTGAACGTGGCAGCGGTCTCGGAGGCGCCTGGCACTGGAACTGCTATCCAGGTGCTCGAGTGGATTCTAATGTCCCTATCTACCAGTTTACAGCAGACGATGCATGGGATGAATGGAACTGGTCGGAGCGATACCCAGGGCGATCGGAACTCAAGGCCTATTTCAATCATGTCGACAAGGTCTGGGACATCAGCAAAGATACATCGTACAACACCGAGGTTCGGGGAGCAAAATGGGATGAAGCCAATAAGATTTGGAAGGTCACAACGGTCAGCACGATCGATAATGAGACCACCAATACAGCCACAGCACGGTTTCTCATCTACTGCACTGGTCTGAACGCACAACCATGGATGCCGGACTTCAAAGGCATCGAAAAGTTCAAGGGCTTTAAGACCCACACTTCTCTTTGGCCTGAAGCAGGCCTAGATGTCAAAGGCAAGCGGGTCGGCATCATAGGAACAGGCGCCTCAGGTGTCCAGACCATCCAGGAGATCGGCCCCGAGGTGGAAAAACTCATAGTCTTCCAGCGCACGCCAAACACTGCGTTACCCATGGATCAAGAGCATTACGGCGATAAGGAAAACAACAACATGAAGGACGGGCTACACGAACTATTTGCCAAAACACGGACGACATGGTCAGGCTTTCTTTACACGTGGAAAGACCAACTAACGAAAGACGCCACTCCGGAAGAACGCGAAGCGTTCTACGAACAGCAGTGGAAAAAGGGAGGGTTTGAATTCTGGGTTGGAAACTACAAAGACATAGCAATCGATCAGGAGGCCAATGAGCACGCATATGCGTTTTGGCGTCGCAAGGTACATGAGAGAGTCAAGGACCCGAGAAAGGCGGAGCTTTTGGCACCAAAGAAACAACTGCACCCTATTGGGACACGACGACCGTGTCTGGAAAGCTCATTCTATGAAGTTTTCAACCAGTCCAACGTGGATTTGGTCGATGTGCGCACAACGCCAATCGCAGAGATTACCGAGAAGGGCCTCAAACTCGCAGATGGGACTGAGTATGAGTTTGACATGATGATCTTGGCCACGGGATTCGATTCCAACACTGGTTGTATCACCAACATCGATCATCGCGGCAAAGACAAGACAACCAGCATTAAGGATCGATGGGCTCAAGGCGTATGGACCAACCTGGGTATGGCCACAGCAGGCTACCCCAATGCGTTCTACATCTATGGGCCTCAATCGCCGGCAGCTTTCGTCAACGCCGCCACTTTGGTCGAGGTTCAAGTTGACTGGCTCATGGAAGTCCTCCGTCATATGAGGCGCATTGGCTTGACGACCATCGAAGCTACCGAGGAAGGTGAACAGAAATGGAGAGGAGAGGTTCTGGCTATTGGCCAAGGAACTCTCTTCCCTAAGGCGGTCGGTGGTTGGTATTTTGGTGGTAACATTCCCGGCAAAGCCCAGGAACCGTTGAACTACATGGCAGGCTTGCCTATTTACAAGGAACGTCTGGAATACGCCCGCCCAGTTAATGGATTTGGAGGATTCCGCGTGGAGTGATGGATGGGATGAAGCCTAGGGGTGTCTAGGGTGGGTCGATGCTTGGCAATTCTTGGCTCAAGACGAGGCTGAACCCCCTTTGGGAGGATCTGTTATCCAACATGACAACGGCGTATGGCATATTTCTTGTTCAATACACTTATAGTCTCACGGTTGACATCTAATCCCTGGAGAGAGGCAAGAACAATGTCTCGAGTGACTATAAAAGCAAGACCACAGAGGAATTGTGGTGCACCCGTACCTATACCCGAAGTCACACCAGCAAAAATCACCCAGTCCTACACGGATGGACTTGGAAAGACGAAACCCATATGAATTGATATTATGTAGGGTTCGGAGCAACTATTAGCACGCCTTGACAGCGACCACAACGAGACTGAGACTAGGGTATACAGCTTTGTAGAATTATGGACTAGAACAACCAATACGACACCAAAGTCCTACGTGAGAAGATCAACGCCCATGGCCTTTCCAGCATCCATGTCGTCATCGAAGAATTCCAACTCCGCGTGTCGCTTGTATGCCTTCATTCCAACGCCTATGATGCGAATGTTTCAACGCAACATGAACAATACAAATCAAAGACCGGTGGAGGATGGATGATGTGATTTTCAATAAGCAAGACGACCCGGTGCGCTCGCTTGACTGATCTCTCGTCTGAAATTTGGACCATCCTTGTCTCGGACGAGTAGTCCTGCCGCTCCATTGACTGCCCGTGGCTTGGTGGGACTTCTGCCAGCCCCACTACTGCTTGTTGAGACCATTGCTGCCGTGCGTTTCAGATTGACGCTTCTCGCCCGATCACGTCTTGCTCGGATCTGGGCAAGAGCAGCCTCACGTGAGATTGGTGTGCCCGGGATATTTCCAAGGATTGAGTTTGTTCTTGAATCAAAGGACGTGGCATGGCTTGTGGAATCTTTTGAGTCATAGCCAATTGAATCCGAACTCATTCTGATGATTTCGGTATGAGCATGTTGTCCTTGGTCCTGAACGGGGCTGAATACGTCGTCGGTATCATCCATCCCACGGAGGGGAACACGGGTTGTGGTTGTAGTGGTGCCAACTGTTTGTGGTGCGTCTTGGTGACCAATTAATACGCCATGAGTTGATCGAGGATGCTTGAGGAGAGGTGTAATGGGAAACATGGTAGTAGTAGCAGGTGATGCTGATGGTCCTCGAGTCTCCCGTTGCTGAATTACTGGGGTATTGGCGTAGGCATCTGTGGACGAGGAAAACGGCGAGTGGCTTCGAACATTAGAACGCGATTTCGTCCTCTTGTGTGCGTGAGATCGTGGCGGCGTATCTTTCAAGGCTATCTTTGTTGTGACAGTAGACTCTGAGAATAGAGTGGTAGGATGTAGAGGAGGAGAAGTCATGGTTCGTGGGTGCTCATGATAAACGGTGTGGTAAGATTGTGCCGAGTCAGGGACCAATCGAATGGGAGAGTCTATGGTCAATATACCCATGGCAGTGGATGGGCGACGGGGCAGGCTCTGTTTTGGCGGCGACAGGTCGAACAGATCAGTGTCAAAGGATGGCGCACAAGACCCTGAACTCTTTTCTGCATTCACTGTTGTAGGTTTGATGTTGGCAATGCTCATTGTGGAGGTCGAGAAGGAGAATTGCTTTGTAGTAGTGCCAGGTTCCACTAGCACCTGAGTAATGTCCTCCAGCTGGGCTGTAGGCTCCGGGGTGTGATCCAGTAGGCTGACCTCCACAGACAGAGGCTCAGGGAGCGGGATAGCGGCGGCTTCTTCAAGCTGTGCAGGTTCCTCCGAGTCCCCTGATTGCTGTGTGGTGTCGTTGTCCAAGGGACTAGTACTTTCCTTGACAATATCTGTAGGATGTTGTGTTGGAAAAAGATGAGTTTGTATCTTTGCGGATGTTGCTTGCGGCACCGTCATCGAAGGGGGGCCGTCGACTGGCTCACAAGACACTTTACGTTTCTTCGTGACATGCTGTGGCTCAAGTCCAGCTTCGTATGCGTGATCGTGGACAAACTTTTCGCCGTTTTCCTCGGCAATTCGACACGGGCAGGCCTTGAACTGGCACTGCATGTGCATAAAGTGAATCAAGTCTTCATCCTCCTCGTGTTTCCGCCTGGCATATTGCAACTCCATGTTGAGGTATGCAATTTCTTCCTCTTGTGTGACTTCTAAGCCTTGCATCTTTTTGTCGTGGAGGTCTAAGTGGAATTTGATGGCATCAAAGGAATCGAGAAGTGCCTTTGACGATGGCAATGGTACATGAGCTTTTGTTTGTGCTGCAGGGACCGTTGGACGGAGAATGGTATGGCCTTCGAAGTTGCCCATCCATTCTGTAGATCTCTGCTGGGTGGCCGTTTGGCTTGCTTGGATAGCCTCGACTTGGTCCGCCATTGTGGCTTTCTCCGCGGTGCGAGCTTTCGCCTCTTCGAGGGCTGCATCTCTCTCTTTCTCAGCGACTTTGAGTCGATCCTTAACTTGCTCCACTTCTTCGAGGACGCCGGCCAGGGCGTAGGCTCTTTCGAAAGCCTCCTGCCGACTCTTCTCTTTCTCTGACTTTTCATGCAAAATCTCAGCCTGGCACTTTTTCAGCTCGTTCCTCACATCTTTGAGCTCTTCTCTTGACTCAACCAGGCCAAGTTCCGCGCGATAAGTCTCTTTGCGACAACGTTTGACCTCTTTGGTGTAGGCCTCTTGATCTCGAACACGCTTGCCTTTTTCGTTCTGCAACTCTTCCATGAGAATTTCGACCCTCGACGATACCATTCTTTCGCGTTTCTTTCTCGACAGGATCTCTTCCTTAGCCCGTTCAAGCTCGGCGCTCAAAGTGGCAAGGCTTGCTTGTGCTTCTTCGTATCCCATGACTGCCCGCTGGAAGGCGCTATTGGTATTGACAGGCATGTCTGATTGTGAGGTTGCATTGGTGGCAGCATTAGGACTAGATGTAATGAGAGATAGGGCTGATTTCCTGTCTTGTCTGACTAGTTTGGGGGGAGAGGAAGAGTTGGTCAGACTGTTGAGAAAGGCGACTTTGGTCTGAACATCTGACATGTTGGAGTCGCGGCTCAGAGGTCGTTCATTCTCGGTCAAGGTGCCGTGGGGAGAGGTAGATGGTGGGATTCGTTGTTGATTCATCCGATCAGGCGATACAGTGTGAAGGGGAGTGGATGTTGGAGGACATTTGAGTGGATTGGCAGCGGGTGCTGACAGGGGATTGATGTTTTCCATAACATGAAGGACCAGCCGCACTTGTGTAAGAGGTCAATGGATGGTTGATGTTATTGAACCAAAGGCGTCATGTCCGAGGCTCGGTGGTACGAGATGGGGTTGTAACAAGGTTAAGATGAGTGCCAGGAGCAGCACGGCGCAGAAAGATGTGAGCGCAGTCGAGTTGGTGGTGAGAAGTCTTTGTTTACCCCCAATTGGGAAAGAGTAGTATGTCACGTGCACCACGATGGCACCACATTTTGTCGCTCCCCGCCAGCTCCAGGTCTCCATTTTTTTTAGGCAATCATTGACTCGTCAATTGTCGATATGACGGAAGAATTGATTCAGCAACAAGGTAATTAATAAGAATAGCGGTGAAAGAAAGATGCAGTTGTTTCATTTTTTTCCATTTTCATTTTTTGACTGTGTTTCTGTCTCATGTGCTGTCTCAAATCATAATGCTTTTTCCCCATTCATCTGCGGCGATTAATTCGCAGAGTGGTATGCAAGCACCATATCGCATCAAAACTCTTAGTATGCCAGCTCTTCCGCGATTCGTTGCGGCGATCCTGTATCCTGTAGACCTGTCAATTCAGCGCATCCGCTGAGGTCGATTTCCAAGCAAATTCCATCGCATATATGTACAACACAAAGCCAGTTACCCTCGGTTGGAGAACCCAGTCCAACCATCGCGTATAATACATGGGCCAGTTCAAGGTGGCTTCGAGCGCTTGGAATCTCTTCCAGCGTCTCTTCCAGAGGGGTCGGTTTTCACGCCGATTACCCTGGTTCAAGGCGGATTAGGTCGTTTCTCAGACCTGTTTGCCAGTGGACTCAATGTCCTCGATTTCGAAAACCCCCATGTGAAAAATCATGATCAATACAACAAAGCGAAAAAAATAATAGAGCAGCCTGGACAAGAGTGGTAGGTTGATCACGAGCAGTCCATCTCGACGTCCTCTCGTCGAGCCAAAAATGGTGCATCAGCAAAATCCATTGCCTCCATGCCACAGCTAACCATGCGGCGATGGCCAGTTGGGGTGGCATATGAGGGCTCAGGTGTCTGTACCCCAAAGCTGGAGAACGGATTGAAGGGTGATGATGCATGCTCCATGGGTTGGAAGTTGCGGTTGCGGCTCTTTGGGACGGCCAACCGGCGTCCATGGGCGGCTTGCTGTGAGCTGTTGGCCAATTGAGCCATAGCGTCAACATCGTTCATGGAATCATTGCCAATGTTGAAGTACTCAACAGGCATATGCATGACGGCATCCGGGTTCAAGGTAGGTGTGATTGGCTGCCAGTCCTGACTCTCATCGCTGTCGGAATCGGCCTCATAGTTTCGCTTGTGGCTGGTGGAATAGTTGTTCCAAAGGGTTTGTTGGTTGTATTGAGAGGTATTATCGTCGCTGTAATGGGACATGAAGGCTAGGCTGACACCACAGAAGGTCGCAGTGCTCAAGTTTTGAGCGGCGGAGTACGGCATGAGCTCATCGCTAGAGTTCTTGTTGCCGTTAATGAGAGCAGCTTGCGTTTCGGGGGACAGCCTACTGACGTTGAAGAAGGGACGGGGTGTGAATTTCTTCTGTTGTTTGTAACCTTCGGCGACCGACTTGCGGATGCGCATGCCGACTTGGAGAAGTCCGGCTTCGATCTCGGCCTGGTCTGGAGCTTGTCCACATAGCTGCAGGAGGAGAGGAGAATCAAAAGTGTGGTGTTCAATGTCGGAGTTGTCGGTGATGGGGATGATAGGTGCAAGGCTGTTGGGAGTGAATCGACGTCGCTTCGACAGAGGAGAGGTGGTGTTGGTGGGTTGTGAAATAATGGGTGCGGTCAGGAAGGAGTTGGGAGGGAGGGATTCGTGATCCATGGTGTGATCTTGAGTTGGGACTGGGGCTGGGGCAGGGGTTGGTGTAGGGGTTTGGAAGTCGGTTACAATGACCATGGTAGGGAGGAAGGATGAATGAGTCTGGATGAAGGCGACGAGGTCGACGGTGCGATGAAAAGAGTGAGAGGGTATCGAAGGCTAAATTGAGCTGAAGCAGACAATGGGGGTGGTGTCAATGTCTGATCAAGGAGAGGAGGTTATGGTGGTGGTGTGAAACAAGGCTGGATGTCCTGCTAAGTGAATAGCAAGAGCCAAAGCCAACGAGGATGACAAGGTGATTGTTCCAAGTGATGATGTCTCAGGTGGAGGATGGAGATGGAGAAGAGAAAGAGAAAGAAAGGTGGATGAGAGTGAGGATATGAAGCTTTGAAAAAGGTTAAAGATGGGACGAGGGCAGAAAAGGGTCTGGGAGCAGATGAGCGACGAGCGAGGCGGGCAAGTTCCAAGTCTCGTGTCTTCAAGTCTGGGCGAGGCGAACGTACTAAGGTCTGAAGTAATAAAATAAGCAGGCTGAAGATTGGAGAATTGACTGAATTGGTACTACGCTACACTGTCAGACCGTGAGGACAAAAACGTGTGCGTGAGCAGCAAGACGCACGGGTCTGTGTGAGGCTCTCCCTCCAGCAACCCCTCTCTCCCCTGTCACACACCAGGTCAGAAACCACAAAGCCGAACCCTCATCCCTCATTCTTCTCTGATCTTATCCTGAACCCATGGCAATCTACAGAAATGGGGACTTGATGGAGACCTGAGGCGAGGAGATGGCTTGTGTTAGAGTGGCCCCTGGATACTGCGAAACATGGTTGGTTCGCCCCTGGACTGATGGAGCCACAGCCTCTGTCAAAAAGGCGGCCCAGCCATCCTCTAGACTCAGCTGGGTTTGGCCCCATGTGCATGGATATTAATAGTGGTTCGCATCCGCCGCTAATGCCGCTAATGCCGCCAGTTCTGACTGTTTTGGGTCTTAGCCTTCGGACTTGGGGCTGCTTTGCCCTGGCCTTGGGGACCTGAGGCGCCTGGCGGATTCGCTCGCCAACAGAGGATCTGGGGTGGCTGGGAATTTTGTACGCAGACCACGCAGGATTGATTACGGCATTATCGTACAATTGCGACAACGTGCGATGGACCAACCCTCATTGGTCTGTCTTGGGAAAATCCATCGCTACACCTAAAGTACCTACTGGATACGTTTCAATGGCCTCTACCGAGTAGTCTTGGCCTGAGGCGCCTTTCCTGCCTTGCATATTGCATTTGCGTAAGGACCTATCCACGCAACTTCCCTACGAAGAATCGCGCCTTCCTAAATTAATTACTATCTGTATACGGCCGACACGAACATGACGCGAGAATCTCGATCATCGATCGTGTTGCGCGTGCCACCCTCCCACTTCTCAACTCCCTCTCTCACTGTTCTCTCACCCTTGTCTCTGTGGCTTTTGTCTCATGATAACATTGATGTTGGGAGATTTGCTGTCCAAGTCCGTCGGCCAACATCTCTCGTACATTCTTTTCATCTTGCGTTCTCGTGGTATTATGACTGCAACTGTTTTGTGCATGTACATTATGTGTGTATGCGTCCGTCTAGATCCCAAAGGGCCTACCATCTCCTTCCGCTCGACCTCCGTTGTCCTGCTCCGTGCACATCATCGACTTGGAGATGTTTTTAACCCTCTCTCTCATCCACGCAAGAGGAAATTACATCTCATTACGGTATACTTTCTACATTGCGTTAAAATTGCACGTCACAATAACAACAATCATAATAATGCCTTGTCTATCCATGCACCTCATCAGTAGTTACCACGTCTGCCGCCCTTCTTGCTTCGTTCGGTGTGTGCCTTCAAGATCTTGCGATGCTCAACCAGACTTCGTTTTCCCTTGGATTTTGCCTTTCCCAACGTCATCAAGAAATTCTTCTTCCGGGCCTTTTCCTTATTTGTGGTACTCTTGCCCTCTGTTTCCTTTCTCTCCTTCTTCCTGGCTGCTTTGGACTTGTGCTCTTCTCGATCGGCTTTATGTTCCTCCAACAGTGCCAGTCGTTGCGCACGAGTCGTCTTTCCTCGCGACAGGGATGCCAACCCTTCGATTTCTTCCGCTGTCAAGGGATCATCCATATGTCGTTGTGAATTTGTCTGTGCTGTGGCCGCGGATGTATGGTGCGACTTGTGGTTCTTCATCAATGAAGACACCGATGCTGCCGTCCGGAGTTCCTGTAGTTTTGCCAGGTCCGCTGGGGTCAGAATGCGTGTGGATGCTAGATTGGATTTGGCCATTTCGGCCGGCTTGTCTTCCTCTTTCTTCTCCTGCTCGTCGAATTTGACCTTTTTGCTCGGCTTCTCGTCCTCGCTGTCGCTGATTTCAATCTCTTGATCACTCTCCACGTTGATCCATCCGCCAGAGTCGTCACTATCTTCAGCCTCGACATCCCAAGCCCCCCAGTCTTCCTCTTCCTCTTCCTCCTCCCCGCTGTCCGATCCGTTAGGATCCAGCCCCTTCTCCAGTCGTTTGCGTTGCCTCTCTTCAGCCTTGTACTTCTCCAGCAGTTCCAATCCCTCGATCTCACCCAGAGCTTCCTCTCCAAAGCGTGCCTGTTTCTGCTCTCCAGCCCGCAAACCGAGCGTAGCGTCTTTGCCCCGATCTCGCTTTTTCAGCATCTCAGCTCCGACTTGTCTGTACAAGCCGAGAAGACCTTTGGCCGCCATCATGACTCCCTTGTCTTTGCTTTTTCTGTACATGACCAAATCCTGTAGGAGCGTGTCACTCATGGCCAGTGGCTGTCTGACACAAATCTCTCGGATGGCGTTGAGACCGGCCGCTGCGACTTCTCCCGCGGCAGCCTCAGAGACAAATTCATTGGCAATCTTTTGTACCAAAGGCTCCAGAATGTCTGGGGGCACCAAATTATGTGTTGATTGCGCAAGGGAGGCCAGGAACGAGGTGACTGAAGGTTGTCGAGGTGTAAGGTATTTGAGAAAGTATGAGTAGAAGCTGATGACGGTCAACTTGTGCAGACCAATAAGTCGAGACACAAGTTGCAGCACAAGCAGCTTCTGTTCGAGGTTCAGCTTAGATTTGGTGTTTTGCAGATGTTTCGAAAACATCGACTCAGCAAAGCCTTGAGGATCGTGAAGTAGATGTAGCGCTGAAAAGTTGAGTGGGTGCGGTTGACCCTTTTTCTTCTCCTTGCGACGCACCGTGGCCGCCGCCTTCTCCAGCTTTTTCTCTGACTTGCGGCTCTTCTTGTTGATACCTACTTGATGCTTCAGCTTGGCCATGTCAATGGCCTCTTCATCAGAGCTCTCGTCTTCGAGCTCCTCTCGCTCCTTGTCACCGCCGAGAAAAAAGCGGACTCCACCGACGACGCACTTTTCGTTGTCTGCCAATGCCGCCTCCTTCATAATTTCCACTGCTTTGGCCTCGGTCCAAATCTGTCTCTTCCACATCTCGCGCGTAATCTTGATGGCCCATAGTGCCTTTGGTGACGATCGATCTTCTGTGACAAGGTTGTGTAGAGTTGTCTGTACGCTGCGGTTGAGTTTGTGGTTTATTGTCTTGGAATTGGAGGACCGGAGATCGCTGAGAATTTTCTGGAAAAGTAGGGCTCGAAGTGATTTGCTTGGGGTGGTGGTGAGGATTGGAAAGAAGCAATTAAGCAAAGTGGTGGAGTCAATTATGTCCTTGTTCTTCACCAGGACGAGACTGCCCACGATCTTCTCGCGCAATTCTGGTTCGAGGCTGGCATGATGAAGGGACAGGATCTCGATCAATTGCTTGGGAAAGTCTTTTGTCTCTTCTTTGTAGCAGTCTGACACATGTGCAACAAAATCAATCAAGTCTCGGAATGAGATCAGGCCGGACTCGGTGGATGAGGTAGGTGCTTGCAGGAAAATCTGGCGCTGGTTTTCATACTGGATGTACTGGTGTTGAAAGTCGGTGAGGTAAGACCTTGGATCTCGTTTGATCTTGTTCTGCAAGTTGGGCAAATCGGCTTCTACCTTTTCAAGGGCACCCAGCTTTCGTTTCACCATGTTGAGAGGGGTAAAAGGGTATATGTGAGGGTTATAGTGCTGGATCGCTGGGAAACAACAAGAGACATGGATGTCTCCTCTCGAACTTTTTTTCTTGGAGTTGAGTCTGCGCCTGCGCTATCGATAAGAAATGCATCTAATCTTATCATTTGGGCAGCAGCCGTCTGACGGACTCCACTTGTGTCAAATCAATAGAATTCTGGGGCACTAGGGATTGGAAAGTTTGTGTCAGACGTCTCAATTTCTCTCCCTGAGTTTAGGAGGTTTGGGTATTGATTGATCGCTGAGTTGAATCTATGGACATATACTCGTATAAAACATTAAGTCTAGGTAGCTATATAAGCTGTAGATCTCACAAGCCCACAAACTCAGCAGGCAATGGCGCCTCCTCTATCCAAGCCCTGACGCCCTTTGCAAAAAGCTCTGGAAACTGTAGATCCCACGCATGCATTGCATCCTTGACAACGACGGCTTTGCTCGCAGGGTTTTGTACCTTGAGAACCTGTCCCATCTTGGTCGTAGCGTCCAATTGATCCTGACGACCTCCCGCGACCGTCAAGGTTCTCACTGAGATCTTTTCAACTTCCTCCGAGGTCATGTTCAAGATACTTGTATACACATCCCTGACCGTGTCCCTATCCAGGTTGTTCCTCTGAGCATCCACCAGTTCGGGAGAAACTTGAAGACCTGACCAGGTTGAGATCTTGAGGTTGGCCCAGGTTGGTATCCAGTTGACCAGTATGTTGATGGTGTGGTATACAAAGCCAGAATGTTGGGCCATCCATATAAACCAGCCTTCGAACGGTGCTGCTCCTGTAACCCAGAGAGACTGAACGACCTCTGGGTGGGACTTGCCGAGCTCAAGAGCTGTAAATCCTCCCATTGAGAGGCCAACTACGTGAGCACGTCCTCCATGGGCGTGTGCTCGAATGAGGTCGGCGACGAGGTCCGCCGCCAGTGGTAGGCTGAATGGTTTAATGTCGATTGACCCTGCGTGGGCTGGGAGGTCGACTAGGAGAAGATGGTAGTCTTTGAGATAGGGGACCACCAAGCTGTATTCAAGATGGCAGCTCATCAGTCCATGCATGAAGATGATGGTCGATTTAGCATCGTCGTTCAACGAGACATAGAAGAGTTTTGGTCTGGTCTCTGACTGCCCAGCGGGCGCGTTGGAAGTAGCCATGAGGTCACACTGGATTGATGGTCCTTACGACCATAGGGACAAGTTGTGGTTAATACCTTGAGCGATAAAAGATATGATTCAGTGATGCCCGACTCCTCGTATTCGCATCTTGTGATTTGTCTCTCCACTAGATAGGGAGCTTGGTTCTTGAAGGTCACGCGACCTGAAGCATACCATTGATTTCTGCCTGGATAGTCTTGGACGATATGATGGAAGTGATGGACTATGAGGCTGGATTGGAAGAGTTGTGAGGACTCTAGCGTCCCCATCATATTTGTATGTATGTCTATCTTTCATTTATGATCTCACACAAAACCACCCCCCCCCCCCCCCCCCC